AAGGATGGTGCTTTTTACAGTATAGTGTCCCCGTCACTATACTGGGCCATTAGGACCCACACGGACCACAGGGTGAGCACCCCCTGCTGGTCTCACTAACACCTCTTCCAGCAGCAACCTAGTTTTCCCAGGAGGTCTCCCATCCAGGTACTGATCAGGCTCAACCCTGCTTAGCTTCAGTGGGCAACCAGTCTTGGGCTACAGGGTAATATGGCTGCTGTGACGTATTCTGAAAACAACATGGGTCATTTGGGTTAAAAACCTATAAATACTCAGTATATATCAAACGCAATAGTGCACAAAATGCAATAGTGGTAAAAACAAGTTTCCTCACACTTCTGTGCTGCGACATTACTGTTGGATCCATTCTAGTCAGACTCAGCGCTGCATCGTCTTTTACTTTCAGGCTCTCTGAAAAGCCTGCATCACACTGTCTTGTTTAAAAATTAATCCGTAGCAAAGTAAAGCAAACAAACAGTGTTTCACTGATGCAATCTGGAGCTCTTTGCTAATTTTACCCCGTGTTTACACCGGACGCAACTTTAGACAACAGAACCCATTATGATCGGTGATTCTGTCTACACTGGATGCGGCACGGATTGACACAACAAATCCCTGACATTAAACTGATGTCCCGCTCTATTTCTGACATACAAGCATTCGCAAGCATCTCTCTAGTATTTCCTCTCCTCCTACTACAAGTGCGTATCAGTGGGTGGGGCTTCTCCTGCGGAGGTGGTGCTTAGCCACACTATTACGTCATAAAGTGGCACGTTCCAAAACGAGTTGTCTTCTGAGCTTGGTTTCAATATAAGCTGTTTTTAAACTAACGAGAAAGTTTTGAGTTTTGAAACTTACAGGATGTTTTTATAGTACAATGACTTGTTATGTGTCAAAAGATCAAGGGAAATTTGATTTCTCAGTTCATGACCCCTTTAATTGGTTAGCAGTAAGTTCCCTTACTATATATGGTGAAAAACTATAATAAATCTAACAGGACATTTCAAATGTACAGTTTTTAGAAGGGAAAAAATAATTTACAGTACAAAACCGTAACTTGACAGTTCCAGAATTTGCTGTGTGACAGCTCACCATTTTTCTTCTGCCGGTGCGACTACATTTTGTGAGCGGTCACACTGGCGTTGCCTAACAAATAAGCGCTGCAATTTCTGTTGCATATGAGAAACATCAAACGGCAAACGAAACAAAAGCGTAATGAAACCGTTTATCAGCTTGGACCAATTATTGAGCGCAGCGCAAGAAAACTGGTCCGAGCTCTGAATAGGTTTACTGGGGAACCAGTGTTGATCTCACGACACTTACTGAATTCGTTGAATTCGCCGCAGAATGAATAAGGTTGCTTTGAGATCTAGTGAGAAGCATTCAAATCTTCACAGAATTCTCTGTGAATTAGATGCAGATGTAAAATTCAAACAGCACTGACATAGAAAACCAGAAGTAGTAACGCTAACTATAACCATGATATTGTGGCAAAAATAGTCAAATGTTATTACATTATTCATTTCAGGGTTTGTACAACCTTTTGAGAGAAGTTCACGCACTTTTCAATGACTTTCAAGTATTTCACACAACTATTTACAGCACTTTAAAGCTCTAAAAATGATCCAATTTAAATTTTATTTTTTTAATGGAATGACCAAAATTTACTTTGTGATAAACAAACACTTATTAAAATAAAAAAAGACATCAAATTACCACTGTAACCAGTAGATGGCAGCAGAGGAGCACTTACTGGCTTATTAGTCATTCGTTTCTATTTTTTGCTTTATATATTGAGATTATAAAATAATACAATTATTTATAAAACTTTAATAAAATATCAAATCATCAAGAAATCAAATTTTGTCAAAGTTTTGCACTTTTTTGTATATGCACTTTATATGTATATGTTATATGTATATATATATATTTATATGTTATATTGTATATGCACAGTCAATCAAACTTCCACATATGCAAATGATCAACAAATGTAAATGTATATTTTTAATTGTATCATTTTAATATATTTATTTATATATTTCTAGTCATTATTATTAGAAATATTTAATAATAATTTTAGCAATTAAATTTGAAACATTATTACAAATTATCAGCTAAAATTTCCCTCCGCCAATCCATTTTTGCATTGCATTTTTAACATCTAGACTCCAGTTTTATTTTGGTATCATTGAGAGACTATATTAATATTTTGAATCAGTTTTCATTTTTATATTTTCTGTTTTCATTTTTATTTTAGTTAACATTTTAGTACTTTTGTTGTGTGTTTTTGCCTTAGATATGTCAGTATAGTGTATGTATATAGTTTTTATTAATTTTTATTTCAGTTTTAGTTTTAGTTATTTTAGTACATCCAGTTAAACTAAAATGAGAAGTTTTCTCCATAGCTAAAATAAAAGATTTTTATATTTTATTTTATTTCTGTTGATGTTTATTTTATTTCAAGTAAAAAAAATTTTTACTGTTTTAGTTATCTATAACAACCCTGCTAGACTCATCTCTTTTTAACATAGATTTTCAAACTGCATTTCTTTTCATTAATTTTTTTGTGGAACATAAAAGATACTTGAAATTAAATGTGCTCCAATGTTGTTTGAGCCCTAACCTTTTTTGAAATATCTTCTTTTTGTGTTCTGCAAAAAGAAAGAAAGTCATATAGATTTGAAACAGTGAGTGAATGTTGACAAATTCTAATTTTCCCTTTAAATTTACCCAATATCGATTATGTCATCCTAATACAGTATTTGCATATTAAATTGTGACTGGTCATGTCTTCATTGCATATATTTAAACATTTATAGATGCTTTGACTAAACTGACAAAAACTATTGCAGAGACATGCAATAGTGTCATGATAATGACAAAGCAAAAACTCAATCATCACAATCATTTTACCAGAAACATC